ATTAAAAAAAAAAAAAGTATAGGAATCACAATCAAAGTCTCTTTAAGCCAACGCGTGATACAATTCCAAACGGACATGCTCATAATAGACAAAACTTTTAAGGTAAATAACTATAATCAACTCAATTTGTACCAAATGAAGCAAAATCCACATTACAGTTTTTTCGTCTTCTCGCCTTTATTTAAAACATAGCTCAAAAAAAATAGGCCTAAAGAGAAGAATTTATAAACTAACAACAAATAATCGCCAGATTAGGGGTAAGGTTTCGACTGTGTAACGTCTGGCGCACAGTAGCTCAATCAAAGAAAGTTGTAAATTGTTCCTGTGAACTTATTTTTTCCTTTATTACTCAGGTTCTACCGAATCGGTGAGTGTTGATTGAAAAAGAGTAAAGCAACATGGTTAGAATAAACTGAATGATAAGAATATCTGTGGATGATAGCTCTCCAATTGGAACTGTTACTGAATGTAGACTCTACATGAAGCTGGATAGGTTTCCACTGTAACGTTTGACTGCCCAATTATCAACTCTCCACAAGGTATTTTATGATATCCATGCCAATACCAACTAATACCAACACCGCGCACCAAATATGGTAAGGTACACAGGCTTCCAGGCTGGGTTTTCACTCCAATCCGGGACTTTATAACCCATGGGTGTGGTCCAAGCATGTTGAAGCCCCGCACCAAACAACTTCTGTCGATGTTGGGTGGAGTCTTGATGATGGACAGGCCTGCTGGCCATGTCTTAACTCCACTGTGTATAGCTGAGTAAAGCGATGGAGATGCATAATTCATCACTATAGATGTTGCCTTCCTTGACGTGTTTGATGCGAACTTCATGGTGACACATATCTTGGTAAAATTTCTGAGCCAGTATCCAGGAAGTTTGATTTCGCCTCCTTGTCTGTAAGGAACTTTGCTGGTCCAGTGAGGAGAATCATAATAGAACGTGTTCTAAGAGGTGAGGCATATTTGCCATTAGCGATCTGCCAAAATTATCAACTGGAGTGGGGTGGGGGTAAAGCTAAATTGTAATGGACTAGGGTAGTAGCCGCGAAATTTCTGAAAATGTTAGTTTACCCTCCTTATTTAACTTATACAAATTTTGAAATTAAGTTATAGATAACAATGAAACACATGATTGTTCGCTTGCGCGAACGTTATTTTGCCAACTTTGGGGAGGCAAATCAAATGAGACTTCAATTCCTTGATTTAGTCGAAAAATGTTGAAAGAAACTAAATTTCCAGATAAAATTTTCCAAATGCTGAAACACATTGACAAGGTCGAATCGGGGCTACATATTTTAAAGCCATTTTTACAAGATATTGAACAGGACCATAAAACAAAACATAGCTCAAAAAAGTGTTCTACATCAGGTTTTAAAGTGTTTCGCGTCATTTTTTTTCGGTAATACTGTGTTTGCGAGTCTTTCAATAATGGATTTGTTTTTTTGTGGGGGGAGAGGGAGTAATCGGGAAAAA